TAAGCTAATATTACTGGAATTCGTATCAAAAAGCATGCGAACATGAGTAGGGGGAGCGTTGGCGATTTTCTGAAGCAGAATGCTCTCGGAATCATTGGTTAGTTCGGGCTTTTCTTCTCCGTTCCTCATTAGCCTCCCGAGGAACGCGGCAAGAACCCATCACTCCGCCTCCTCCTCGTCGCCTTTTCACAATTTTTTCTCTCCTATAGGCACTCTAGGTTTGTTTGTTCCCTCGTTTCCCTGTTGTCAATTACCTGTCCGTGGTTATTCGATCTGCTTTGGCGTAGGAGTTCCCATCAGCTGATCGGTCGATGGGTGAGCTCTGACTTTGAAGTTCTTGGCCAAGGGATCAAAGAGCTATCTTGACGTGAAGATCGTATTAGCTGGAACATGATACACACCCAACGGCCATTGTTTTCCGCATTTCGATGTTCGTGACCAGCATCAACAAATCCTGAAATAGATTACGATGTGTTGCTTAAATTTCTTGTGAATCATGGCATTACTAGTACAGAAACCATTTGAAGTAGCAAATAAAATCAGATCTCATTCGGTGGTTGTTTCAAATAGCAGTCAACGGAAGTAATAAGTGGTCTACTCCAACTATTTCCTACTTACTACTCAAGTAACTTTTTGCTTCTCAAGTTGGAGCCAGCCAGAGAGCCGGCTGACTTGCAGCTTGTCTTTGGCTACATACCTCCACAAGTGGTTTGCCTCACTTCTGTTTCTGTTTGCCTTCCATTTTTGGTCACCAATTTCCTTGCTGTCTGCAAAATTAATCATCCTTTTCTTATGCCAGGCCGAATCTGACCGCAGATACAAATGGGTTCGAAGCGCAAGCCAATACCCAGTTAACTCAGAGTAGCAATTAAGTTGTTAGGCTTTTATGAGTTCTACAAAATCTTGAGATGTTCGTTCATTGTAAATCACCGGCTACCGGGCATCAAGCCGTCAACGCCCTCCCTCGGAAGTTGGAGGAGGTGTTCATGGTGGGGCAAAGTGCAGTGGAGCAGTGAAGCAGCGATGTTTCAGTTTTTCCAATCTTTTGTGTTAGTCATGTCGGACGGATTCGAATTATACGCCGAGATTGACAGAGACGTGCCATCGTGGTCGTTTCGTCTCTGCCGTTGTCTCGTACATGTAGCTATTTTATTGCTGTGCTCTCATATTCTCGTCATCTTTCCTTTCCACTTTGGTTTCTGTTCGTACTAGAAATTTAGAAAAATTCGTTTAGTCTCCATTTTTCAAATGCTCGATAATTTATGAAAACCGGAAATCGACTGCGGAACGCTTGAATGCGGCCAAGGGTAGCAACTGCCCAACAGGGTCTCTCTAAAAGCTGTTCTGGGTGATAACGGAATTCGGAATACGGAAATTGATCGTTCCCATGTGTCGATAAATCGATAATAATAGTATCAGATGCTTTTTATGGAATGAAGGAGGGGCTATATAGATGTTTCTTCAACTTTCTCCAATGGGCCTTGACCCCAGTGGTTCTGACATCAAAAGCCTCAATAAAGAAAGCGGCTGACAAATCGTTACTGGTAAATGTGCCCGATGTCTGGCCGCCTTAGATGACGCTGAATTTCAATATCGAGATGTCCTATATCGAGACTTTTAGGACTTGAAAAACACACCCCAATTTGAGTAGGCTTACAGAGTAACAAAAAGCACTTGGGTGCCTACCAGTTCGACCGATTACGTGACTTGGTTAATACTTGGTCGCTTCAACATCCGAGATAGAATTTGATCTCTTCGGCCATAATTGCACAATGTGGTGCTTCTAGCCGCTGCGCTACATCCACTTCTGTCTTATTTCTTTTATTGAATCACAGTAACTTAGTAACAGCATGGCTGGCCTTTCTACAAACATCGAATCACGTATGTAATGGAGTTATACGTCTAGACAGACAGCCCTTAAGGTACATATTGTCGATTACTATTTGCACTATTTACTTGTAAATCTTAGAAGTCAGTTACTATATTTGCACTTGGGTACGGCTTTCTAATTATTCAAAGGAAATCCGTCTGGGAGGCATTCATACCACCTACGTCCTTGATAAAAGAAGTACATCATTAGATTAAAATTATAAAGGCTTCTGGGAAAATGTATATCTTCTTTGGTTACGGTATCTTTCTTCGAATAACTAGTAATCACATTGTTATTGATTGTTCGTGGTTATCAGTGATTCGCCTCATTGCCTCATTGAGCTCATTGATCTCATCGATCGATCCCATTGTGTCGGTGTTTCCTAAGCGAATTGAGCGCCCTGTGTTTTCTAATTGCCGTCTGGTCGATGAGGTTTTCCAATCAGTTCTGTTTCAATTTCGTTTTTTTCCTGTTTCGTTTAGCCGCTTTTCGTTTCCGTTTATTGCAATCGTCGAGGTCTCATTGAGGTTGCAGTAATACTTGTAAACTCGTCCATTCCCGTTGTTGTTGTTGTTGTTTCAGATGTGCTATTGAAGACGAAGCTGTGCGCATTCCTCCTACATATCTATCGTCATTGTATTTGCCAGTTTAAAGTGTATATTAATAGTAACGCAATTCATTAATCTCTTCTTCTCGTGTGTGAAAAATGACTGCTGACAATTGTGAGAAGGTGAAAGTGGCCGTACGTGTTCGTCCATTTAATAAACGAGGTTCGTATTTCACATTATAATTTAAATTTCACTTTCCCAATTTCATATGCTACCCGTCTTCTCATAACAATATTTTTTGTTGTGTACTGGTCTAAACGAGTACGTGAAGGCGAGAAGACGGAATTGTTATGCTCAAGGATTATAAGAAGGGGAGTTATCGGCTGGCAAATAGAAATCCGAGACGTTTGGACCTCTAACGAACGATGACGTTCTTTTCCTAACAGACTGGACGGAATGGACGTGTTTTCCATTTCGCCAAGAGGCGCACTTTGAACAACAATTCATTAATCTATTTTTACGATTAATGAAATTGCTATGAATTCTCGCCATTAATTTGCCCGATGATCTCATAAAATGCTCGTCGATCAAAAGGCGACGGGGCGATTTCGGGGGATCAGTACGATGTGGGGGGTCCAGAGTCCAGCCAGGGCTGCCCCGAACGACTGAACGAGAGCTTGTCAGACTAACAGCCTTCGTCGGTCATAATGAAAGTCATCAATTTTACAGCGCAGATGAGCCTATGCCCTCCCTCTAAGGGTTGATTTCATCAGAGAGGGCTCGGATTAATGTAGAACCCAGCTATTCACAGCTTATATTAGTCTCATCTCATCAAACATTCCTATACTGCTGTAAAGAAACATGTGATGTGCAAAATTACTATGAGGGATTCTTGAAACGAAATAATCTACAAAGGGAAAAACGACAATCAGCATAAAGTTTCCGCAGATGTGATCCCCCTGTTTCTGCGGGTGGATTGATCTGCGGATGTCACTTCAAGAGATAGATAAACAACTAAGCGCCTAACTAAATAAAATATTGAGCTTCGAGGTGATGCCCTGACTTGGGATGCGCCATGCTCTCGGCTTCCATTCGGAATCCGAAAGTCCTACATCAATCCTACAGAATGACTTGTGGGCATCATTTGGAATAGTTTGAGCTTACTACCATTTCACACAAATAAATTACCTGTTAGTTGATCTCAGATCGATGAAAGTCATGGCTGACAAGGGAGGGATTTGATCTTTTGACCACATGCATGGTAACTTTGCTTTTTGCTACAACATACCCTACTTTAACTTCGTAGAAGTATACCTGTAAATCTTTCTAGACATTTTCTGGACAAAAGCCCTTCATCGCCGATACTTGTTGCGGCCAAATTCTGAATTCTCCTGTCTGGTAGCGGGAACCAAGCTGATAAGTAATCAGCCCTTGAACCGGGCCCTGGGGAATTATTCACTTCCAACTTCGGAGGAATTATGAATCATACCCGGCGGACGAAAGAGGGTCATTTGTAAATATCGTCGTCACTTTGGCTGTGTTGCAATCATCATAACTCATAAGCCTCAGTCGGTCATCCATTTTCATGGTAGGCAACGAAGGCTGTTAACATCTGTTATCGGGTCTGTATTCTTCTAACTATTCTCTCGAATATTTTTAGAAACGACTCGAAAGCTTCTACTCCGTTCGTCACTTACCGATAAATGTCCCCTCTGAGAAAAAGGCTAGGCTTAGTGGGTGATCAATAGGGCAGACGATTCCTTGGCAGAACCGAAAGAGTCGAATAGCCTCATTAAATCTTCGGAAATGAGTCCATGGCCGAGGGATTACCAGAAATTGTTGCATTGTGGAAGAAAACAGTTGCCCGACAGGAAAGTCATCCTATCCATTCGGTCCTGAATGTGAAAAGAAGAAACTGGAATTCTGTGATAAAAACGTCGCCTGAGCTTTTAGTGGTTCACCAGTATCCAATGTATTCAAAATCCGATAAATAAGCATTTAAGCCTCACAATGGATGCGGTTGCGACGCGATAGTTCGTGGGCAGGCCTGAGGCTTAGCGCAAGACATATGTATCGATCAATATGGTCGCGCCGCGTAGCGCCCTTCACGCATACCATGTTAGATCTTTGAGCTCCTAGCTACTTGCTTTGCCCCATAGAGATTGTGTCTTGAGATTCAGTCATTAGATTACTGGTAAAACATGTGTCCCAAGAGGGAGTCGATCGTCATTCATGATTCTTCTTGAAAGGATCTTCTTTCGTCCTCGCTTTTTGGTCTGAACAGCATTTATCGACTACTGGTAACTTCCCTTTTCCCAATTTTCGGTCCTAGGTGGCTCAGCCAACACGGAGCTTTGTTTGTTGTTGTTATTTCTCACCGTTTCCAAATCAACTCAAACATTGTCCCTAATCCATCTGCATTCTAACCCTCCGACAAAGAATTGGAGTGGAAAACTAGGAAGCCTTGGGCAATGCGAACTTCGGGACTCAGCATGTTGGAATGATTCTTTCTTGTTCGGGTAAAGGCTAGTAGGAAGGAAAGCCAACAGCTGAATGTGAAGAGGAAGGGATATTGAAGTGGTATGAAGCGGGAAGAGGAAATCAATATCACTCTCTTCTTTCCAGAATTGGATTTGAATACGAAAGCTGTTGTGCGAATGTGTAATGGCCAGACGATATTAAATCACATCTCCGATGAGTACGTTACCCACATACTTTCGCTTTCGCACGTGTTTTTTTTCACGATTCATAGGTTTCACTATGTGTTTGCAGTAAACAACCAAAAACTTTCGCTTTCGATCACTCTTTCTATTCCACAGACGTCAATGATCCGAACTTTGCAAGTAAGCAGTAATGGAGTAGTTGTACTTGTTTGTCCTCACGAAACTAGTAAATAAAACTTCAGGTCAAGAAGAAGTGTTCAAAAGTCTTGGATCCGGTGTTTTGGAGAATGCATTCGCCGGTTATAATGCGTGTATTTTCGCTTACGGGCAGACAGGTGAATTTACCTGATTAGTCTTAAAACGGGAATTTCTGTCCAATCTTTTTTGTCAGGTTCCGGTAAATCATATTCAATGATGGGTACATCTGATCAGCCTGGGATTATACCGCGTCTATGCAATGAGGTAAGCAGTGGGATCATTTTTCCTACGGGGCGATTGGTACTGTTAGTTTGTTGTTATTGTGAGTTTCATTCCAAAAATGGTGATGAATGGTTTATAAAAATTAATAAAGTGCTCAGTGCTCACATAAGCTTCATTCCGCCATATTAGGTCCTGCGAAGCGCGCTGCGACCGCACGCATCACTGACCTGTCGTAGCCATCGCGCATATTAGAGAAGGATGAGCTGCTTTTCTTGTCTCTAGATGACTCCTTATGATTTCAGGTATTCAGAAGGATCAAAGAGACCACTTGTGATAGCCTCCAGTACAAAGTTGAAGTTTCTTACATGGAAATCTACAACGAGCGTGTAAGGGATCTTCTGGATCCCAAGAAGTATGATATGTTTTGTTAAAATTTAGTTCTAAAACCAGGCCGGCTATTGAGTGATGCAGTTTCAAACGACCGCAGCGCGACCGCGTCTCGCGAAATGTCTTGTGTCGTAGTGGGGAATGAAACAGCACAATGTAAAGTCATACTGCTTCACTTTCCAGGTCAAATAAACATCATCTGAAAGTACGAGAACATAAGATTCTTGGGCCTCTCGTCGATGGCTTATCAGTACTGGCTGTGGATTCATACGAGGTAGAAGAGTTGTTGGATTATATACGACAAGAAGATTAATTGAACCGGCAGCCTTCTCTTATTGCGTGTCCTGAGTTTTTACTTGTTAATTCCTTTACGTCAGACTTGTTTCAGCAAATTGCTTCGCTTATCGAAGAGGGGAATAAGTCGAGGACAGTAGCGGCAACTAATATGAATGCAGAAAGTTCACGTTCACATGCCGTATTCAATATAACTCTTACACAAATCCTAAAGGATGTCGATAAGGACGTGGGTGGTCTGAGAAGGATTTCAAGTCTAACTAAGCCATAGTACTGTAAAGATTTATGTTTGCATTTTCAGTTCACGGGCGAGAAAGTGGCAAAGATATCCCTCGTTGATTTGGCTGGTAGTGAACGAGCTGGTAAAACTGGTGCAATGGGTAAACGTCTTGAAGAGGGTGGTAACATTAACAAGTACGTTTCATTAGAATTGAGCTCGCTTACTTATCGGCAGTCTATTTCCTTTGATTAACCAGAAATTGTTTTCTGTTTTTTTGCAGATCGCTCACCACTCTCGGTATGGTCATTTCCGCTCTGGCGGAGCGCTCAAATGGGAAAAAAGAGAAGTTCATTCCATATCGTGATTCAGTGCTTACTTGGTGAGTCTGAGCGAAGAATTGATTCTGTGCATTGGGGTTGAGCAAGCTAGTTGAGGGACAGAAGATCAGGGTAGGGAATACAGGGACCCACGTAAGGTTGGCGATTATAGACGCGGTTAACTGGGCCTTTGGGAGTTCTCGATCACCGATCAAATAACCACAACTGAATTCTCCATGGATACCTTGATTTGAATGCATACCATTCCTAGGCAAAGAATAGTGGGAGAGGGGGAGGGGTCGATACTAATAACTTCTATCCCCTGCTATCAATCTATGAATCAATCAATCTGTCAGCATGTTGCCTCTGAAACGTTAGCAATTTTATTCTGGGTGAAAATGGTATTGAGAATGGCATCCAAAAGTCATTACAGAGCCTAATGATCTGCCACTTTTTTGGGGCTGCAGGCTTTTCAAATTTACCAAACTTTTGAAGCTTCGTTGAGCTTGAACTGTGGGGATCTTTTTTTGGACCGTTGAGGAAGTGTGCATGAGTTTTCATCAGCGGACTGGACAGCTAGCAACCTGAGAAGGCATAAATATTTGGTGGGTTGTTGGTTCAAGTCCTACTGGAGGTCAATTCTTCTCAAACAGAGGGTCATCCACGGAGTAGCCTCTCGATTTGCTTGGCTTGAGTGTGTTTTTTAGTAAAAAAATGTTGACATGTTCTAAATTGTAGAAAAATGTGAAAATTGTAAAGCAGGAATCGTAGAAATATATTCGTAAGAATCTACAAAACCTTTGCTGACTTCGTTTGGAATTTGCGAATGAATGGGGTTTTCTTCAGTAAATTGTGATAGGCAATTTCCAAGCTATTTCCTGAAGCGAATATTAAAAGGCTAAATTCTGCCATCCAATTAAACAATGAATAAACGCCCGTTAAAGGCCTCCTACAGTTAGAGTTTTGCTAAATTTCAAGGGGGCTATTATTTTGTCGTGAAGGTTTACTCAGCCCTGATCGTTACAAAGCTTTTGTAGTTTTGGAACAATCAGGGACTTGAAGCTTTTTTTTTTGAGTATGGGACCTTCATAGTTAGGAATCCTCGGATTGGAGTTTATGGAGTGATTTTCAGGTTACTGAAAGACAATCTCGGAGGTAATTCGCGTACGGTAATGATAGCAACGATCTCGCCAGCTGCAGACAACTACGAGGAAACCCTCTCCACTTTGAGATATGCCGATCGTGCTAAACGAATCGTCAATCATGCTGTCGTCAATGAGGTGAACTTATTATTTATTTATTTGAATCATTTAAACTGATAGCCTCCATTTGTCATTGAATCGCTCGGTCCAAATGAGCTCGTAATTGTGAAGCGATCGTAGATCATATCTATATGGAGATCATTTCATTGGCAGTTTTCTTTGCAGGATCCTAACGCTCGCGTTATTCGTGAACTACGTGAAGAGGTCGAGACTCTTCGTATGCAGATCAGCCAAACTTTGAAGGAACATTCGGTACGAGTTATCTCTTTTTGTAGGTAAAAGAGATGGTTAGAGCGAGAAGCTAACACTTAATAGAAAGATGGCTTTTCGACCTCCGAAAAAAAGTAACACAAGGTATTGAGTTACTGGTACCGGTACAGTTAAGTCGACAACTAAAATTTTCTTGCGACTTTTTACCTGAAGTCGAGGTAGCGTTACAAAAAAGCGCGAAATCGCAGAGAAATGGCTGAGGTGATGCGTTGCATGTCAACGTTTATTGATCCGTCAATACGCCGCGCTACGTCCGCTCGCGCCTTTGCCATGGTTTTTGCCGAGGGTGTAACCCGTGGCCCGTAAGCTTCCCATACCGTTTCCGTGTTATGGGATTTATAGCCCTTCTTCTCCTTTAAGGATCCGGCTTTTACAGCTGGTGTTCTAATAATTATCGTAGTAATTTCAGGAAACCGCGGAATTACGGGAACGCCTGGCTGAAAGTGAAAGGCTTGTTGCACAAATGAACAAATCTTGGGAAGAACGCCTGAAAGAAACTGAAACTCTCAACAAAGTAAGTTTTGGTGGCTCCTTAACTGCTCATCTTCTTACTTTTCACTATTAACTGTCATAGCCATGTAGTTAATGGATATCTGAGTCGCTCTATTCTGTACAGGAACGTCAACGAGATCTTGCCGAAATTGGAATCTCCATTGAGTCAAGTGGAATCAAAGTGGAGAAAGATCGCTTCTACCTAGTAAACCTCAATGCAGATCCATCGCTTAATGAATTACTAGTTTACTACATCAATGTGAGTCGAGTATTTATGCCGATCTACCCTTCAATCAACAACATAACTGCTGTAATCCTTCCAGTCATCAGCTATAATAGGCAACTTGGATGAGATTGAGACCAGCCTCGATTCAGGCTTAGGGAACTCAGTAGAGGACCTCGACAAAAAAGAAGGTCGGTGTTTTTGCACAGAAAGTGCTGTTTTTGTGCCGTAGCGGTGAAGGGAATGGAAGCGTGCGGTTGCGGTGCGGTCACGTCTTTGTATAATCGAAAAAAATTCAACTATTTACAGCAAGCGAAAGAACCAGTATCGTACTGCGAGGTTTGGGTGTCATGCGACGACATGCTAAGTTAACTGTGGTCGAGGAAAGAGGACGATCCAGACTTTACGTTGAACCGTTGTCAGCTGAAGGACGGTAAGCATAGAATTGCCATCAGTGGGTGACTGTTTTTTCTGATCCACTGATTACTGGTAATTTTGTTACATTTTCGAATATTTCGTGACATTTTGTAGAGTCTGTGTGAATGGACGAGAAATCTCGGATCGAACACCTTTACGACATGGTAATCGACTGCTGATTGGCATGAACCACTTTTTCCGTGTCAACTGTCCAAAGGTTCGTTTATTGTGCTGATGACATTCCGGCTTATCAGTTTGCCCAGAAATAAGCTGATTGCGTTGAGAAATCAAGAAACACGGTGATACAGCTGGGACAGCTGTCTATTTTGAGGAGCTGTAAAGGTTTACCAAATAGCACAGACTTAGGGAAGTGCTACTGATAAGTAAGGGAAACAGGAATCCAGCTGAGAATTATCAATTGCCCTTTATTCTGCTGTCATGCTCAGCTCCTAAGTAATGGGGGTTTACAAATTTGTAAACGGCCGTTGTGAAATTGTTTCGGTTCCCCTGTTCTTTGAACTTCAATCCGATTTCTGTAGGGGAGTAGCCACGCTTAACGCCCTTCAATTCGTAGGCGGATCTGTCTCCCTGCAAAGCACTTATCATTGGTGGATTGTTGATTGGCATTTGCAGCTCGATAGTCCACCAATCAGATGCATTGCAAGCACACCTCATAATTACGGTAACCCATCAAAATTATTGCCGATTCGAAAGTTAAGGTGAAAGATGTGATGTACGTGGAAACCTCGCTGATAAACATCATATTGACGGAAGCAATTTAATTCGCACAGCCAACCCTGGGCCAGAGGTAGGGGCCCAGTCGGGAACTCTGAGATAATGATGGAGTCACTACAACCAACCACTCATTACGTTCTAACGTAAGTCAGCTGTCAAGTGCCTGAGGGAATACGTCAGTGGTTTGAGCTTCAGCGAGTTTTCCAGATTACTGAGTAAGCTAATATATGTATTCAAGTGGCCTTTCCAATTTTGAATGAAAGCCGCCTGCATGGCTTAGACCAAGTATTGATTGAAGTTGAGCGCTTTACTCTTGTTAAGCTATAATCCTCTATCTTTCTTTCCTCTGGAAGGAACAGTAGCTGGATTTCAGCAGTTCGTAAATAAAACGTCTAAAATTTTAAAGTCATGGGGCATTTTGAAAGATCACTCACTCTTACAGCATATGCTATCGATCCATTACAAGTAACTTTTTTAGGACGTCGATATGACGCAGTCAGTAATGGATGAGAGCGTTCTATTCGACTATAACGATGCATGGCATGAGGTAGGATATTAATCTATCAACGTCACCACCACTGTTGCACTTTTTCCGACGTCTTTCTTTGTTTGACGGAAAATGTACCTCCTCCATACTTTGTCTTGCAATGACTCCTCAGCTGCCAGCTCTTACCCAGACATATATAAGCGTAGATTAAATTTCTTAATAATGGACAAAGGGCTTAGAATGAAGCGCAGTAAGATTGTGAATTTCTAGGTAAACGGAGATGGAGGGGGTAATCCAATCTCGTCGGCTGTTGACCAGTACATGGAACAGGTTACGTTGAAACACCAGGTCAGTTCTCAAGAAGCACGGATGATAGATGACAACGCCGCCCACGCGAGTGTGCCGCATGCATGCGCGACGTCCGCGCGCGGCACCGACCTCCTCGGTGCCGCGTGTCGCGCGCGGGTGATGCGATCTTGTTTGGGTTGCATGGCGACTAGATTTCCATATCTAACAATCTGTTTTTGAGCCCTATTTTACAATTTTTTTTTCTTGAGGAGGACAAGCAGGCAGCTCTCGAACGCCAGTATGAAGCCTTTGAACGCTACATTCAGAATCTGACAGCTGGAGGGTTAGTGATCTTTTCTTTCCCTTCTAACCCATCTTTAGCAGCGGAAGGCGGATCTATTGATTAGTTCCAAGGAGGACTTGTTCCCTTTCAGCTTCACTCCCTCGACGCCAATGACACCAGGATACGGTTTCGGAACTCCACTTGGTACCCCTGGGTCAGCATTGCCACCTTTTCCATTCCCAGCTAATCCAAAACAAATGGTCCGCAGCAAGTTCTTCTATTGGGCTCAACGAAAGTGAGGACATTTTTCTTGACACTTCTTCTCTTCTGTAGGAAAATGAGACATTTTCAGAGAGGAAATGTTTGCTGAGTCGTTGAAACGTCTAAAAAGTGATGTGATCCGGGCCAACGCTTTAACTCGTGAAGCGAATATGATCAGTCGCGAGCTGGGCAACAGTCGTCGTCAGACCACCTACGATGTCACCCTCCAAATACCAGCAGCAAATCTTAGGCCAAGTAAAATCAAGGTGAGTTCTGGTGTCTGGGAATGCCATCTCTTTGATAACCCCTTTGGATGCGCCCTGTATTCAGTCGCCTTTCAGAACTTGGTGCGGGACTTGGGAGGTTCGGTGGGTGTACTACATAAATCTTCTTATCATCTCATACGGAAACATACCAAACTCACTAACTTGCAATGAGGAATGCAATGGTTTGCATGGGAATCGAAGCCGGGGTCTAATCCAAGCAACATAAGGCGGTAGCCCCATTCGACACTGTGCTGCTCCTCTTCCGTGCGGCTGGGGGGTAAAAGGCTAGGGTACCTCTATACAAACTGAATCCTAATTACTTGTTTGGGTGACCTCTAAGAACTCTTTCTTGTTCACATAAGCTCGCTCACCGAGATAGTGCTTAGTATTGCTCGATTGAGGTAGATACGGTAACTTCCGCGGTGCTTTCAGATTACTAGTGATGTTGTTAAATGTTGATCATTACTAGTTATTACTATTATCGTCAGCAAGCCAACCTAAATCCCGTTCGGAATCCCTTACAAGTAGTACGATTGCTTCAATCCAACTCCAGTGACCGATGTTTTAATGAGAGGGCACAGACGAGCAGAAGGTAATTTCAGCGTGGGTCGATGGGACGGAGGAGTCTGGCCGCTCAATTCTGCGCACTCCCGTCAATCGATACCACGCGGACAGTGCGGCTAGGTTGACACCCGAGGCAACAAACTATCCCAACATTCTGGGGTTGCCTGTCTAGTATTAGACAAATCTTGAAGAGTAGAAGGGGAAACCCTTACAATCCTTACAACCCTTAGTCTGGCTCATGTGCATATCTAGAGTCGGTTGTTACCTTTTGTTCCCGAGTGGACGTCTCTGTGATTTCTATATTTGCTGAAACTCGAGAGTGTTCCCTGCTTTGGACCTTCGATCGCTGTTTCAGGCAGGGACATTTGTCTGTGAGCCGGTGATTGTTGTACGTCGTTCGGGCATGAGTGGAAGCCAGTTGTGGACGGTGGCGCAATTGGAGAACAAGCTAATCGATATGAGAGAGATGTATAACGACAAAATAAATGGAGTGGCGAGGTAGGGACTTGATCAGATAAGTATCAATAACTATTGTTTTGTGCATATTTTGTCAGCACTGGTTTTACAGAGTCCCATCATGTGCTTCCAGCCCCGAAAGTTCTCCATCTCGCTCGTTACCTCCGCCTTCCCCCGATGAAGTGATGATCGATCCATTTTTTGAAAGCCAGGTTCGTGTCGAGTTATTACTAATGTTAGGCGCCCAGCTTGGGTGTTATAGTGCTTGCGACGCGCGCGGTCGCGAAGTGGCAGCGTGTATCTGCATCGGTATGTTCGCATTGAAAGAGTGCTCAAGTTAATTTATTCAGGAACACCACAACCTCATCGGCGTTGCCAACGTTTTCCTCGAAGTGTTGTTCCACGACATGAAACTCGATTACCAGGTGACTTACTCTTCCTTTTTTTGACGTAAAACTACTCCTCTCACGTACCCTCTTACTGTGATTCTGGACTATCTTCCAGTTTCATTGAAGTGTAACTGATTAGTCTCAAATCAATATTTCTAAAATTTCAGTGGTCTCAATTAGTACAGAATTGATAGATCGATAGCACCTTGTCATTCCATGTCAATATATTATACATCAAAAACATACTAATTTTTTCTCAGGTTCCGATCATTTCGCATCAGGGTGAGGTAGCCGGCCGCCTTCATGTACAAATTTATAGGTAAGTTGGTAAATGAAAGTTTAGCTTTTCATGTAATTTCCCATTCGGTGACCCAGAATTAGCGTGTTAAAGATGTCTGTATTCATATTTGTTAGGAAGCCACCGGTCGTAGACGTTTCTGTATGTACTTGAATGAAATCCTGCATCAAAACCTGAGGCCGAGTGGTACTGACGATGTAACCGAATCAAATTTGACGTTAGGTTCGTTTTAGGGTACCAAGTGAGTCTGATGGAATCCAGTCACCGGATCGGGAGTACAATGAAGGCTTGGAAAGGGCCGAGGGCCTGCTTGGGAAAGTAATAACTTGCAGGGTGAGTACTTTCCGCACAACCTAATAGTGCGTTTACCAAAGGAAAAGTACGGAGTTTTCAAATATATCTCCCATCTAGAATCACTAGCAGAGAGTGAATGCATCATCCTCTTAAACATGTTGATGTGGGGTGGACGGTGAATTATTAGACTGATTTAAGGTCCGCATAAAGAAGGCCTCATCTCTGCCCGAGTCCTTGTCGCACTTCGTCTTCTGCCAGTACTCTTTCTTCAATCTGTCCGAGATGCTTGTCGTTGCGCCTGTCTTCGATCCATCAGAATCTGCTGAATCTCAAACACAAGCCACAACATTTGTGTTTGACCACGAAAAGGTTTGCCTAGTCCGTCTTCAGTGGATGTTACCCGATTCCACAACCATTTCGATTCCAGGACTTCAAAGTCGTTGTTACGGAAGAGTTCCTC